ATCAATCACTAATTCTACAAGTATTTAATCGTACCCAATATCCTTTCAACTATCGCCCTAGGGTCATAGTTGTCTAGTATCAAAGCACAATAAATAACTTGTCAATTACTGTGACGATATCAGGTCAAAGGAAATTCTTACATCACATTCTTCAAGAGAATATCCTATTGACAGTTTATGGTAATTCTAACCATTAGGAATTATCCAATGAGTCAGTTCAATGATCATATCTTTATATGCATCATCTATCTATGTGATTTAGTAAATGAGATCAACTAATCTTTATCCCATAAAGATGATCACATAAATATTGATCTAACCGGATTACTAATGTCCAAATTAATAATCCTACGATCAAGAACAAATTTAGATTAAATTGTAAGAGACTTTGCTCTCATTATCATGATCTCTATCACGATGACAAGTCTCAAAATTTAATCAAGGACCTTATCAAATTAATCAAACAATTAATAATAACTATGATAAAAGAATGCCATATATTTTTATATCGAATAACATTCACAAAAATATGAGATTGGATCTAGGGCATATCTACTATATCCCTAACAAATATAACATGCATTCTGTCAACCAAGAATATGGATGGGTCTGGCTCTATACCATGTTAAGAAAATGAACCATGAGCTCAACTTAACTCCAAAAATTGGCTCCTAAGGTGAGGATTGCACAAAACCATATAAAGAGACAACAGTCAACTCCCTCAACTAATGTGGAACACTTAACAGCTAGGGATTCAGCGATGAATACCTCATTGAGTTGTTGGCTCCTTCTTTTATCAGGAAAAATAGCCTTGAACACTCGAGGTTTATTCTCCAGATATCGATCAAAGGTAGCCTGCCAATTCAATTATTCAACTTCCACTATAAAAATTCTGAATAACTGTTATGCAGGATTTTATGACTATACATGAAATAGATTTGTAAAAAGGAAAGATTGCACAAGGTTGACATACAGGTAAAAATTATCTAACTATAAGTACAAATTAAAAGATTCATAAAGCTGACTCACTTTATAGTTTATTTTTTCCTAAGGTATATAGTTAATTGATTGTTAAAGATATATATGAGGATAGATGTACAGAATTGCATATGGAAGAGAAATTGAAAATGTAGTAGAAGGAAAGAGTACCCCAGGGATTTCATAGAGAGGAATATCAGTGCTAATTCTAGAAGAGTAAGTTGAAGCATTTATCATCTGGGATTTTCCAGTTAATGGCTGTAACTTCCATTTCTTGCTCTTTTGCTTTGCCTGCGAGAACAAGAATCCTCCTTTGGGCACGAAAAAACTATTGTGGCAGTAGGAACATGATGTGTGAGCAGCTGTAATCTTTCCCATTCTTTAATTTTTGTTATTTTCTCTTTGATTAGTTAATTGATTGCTCTAATTTTTCATGGTTTTGACAAGGACTCCATTGAAATTGTGGAAAGAAATGGACTGTTGGAAAAGGAAAGAGAAACAAGATAGGGACAGAGAACCATATCTACATGCGGCATTTTTGGTCTGATTTGGCAACCTGACAGTGGTGCGAGAGATGAGTATGGGTCCACAACTTCATTTCATCAAAACGCTTTCTTATTTGTCAATCTTACTGCTGTTTCCGTTTTAATTTATATGATAAGTATATATATCTTTTTTTTATTAATTCATTCCCAAAAAAATAGTAATATATTTTTATAACTTTAAATTTTCTATTTTACCCCTTAACGAGAAGCTTTTATGTCCATACAAATCAGTGGCTAAGCTTGTCTCCACAAAGTTTTTTACTCATTAAGCTTTTAGGACCTGACATTTCAAGTTTTTTTTTCCTTTCTTTTCTTAAACTTCATATCAAGTCAAGTTATCTCATATAAATTGAAACGGAAGGAGAGTATTAATGTATCTTCTCTCGTTTCTATTTGTATAGCATATTTTGACTGCACACGAAATTAAAGAAAGATCTTTACAATTTGTGATCTTAAATATATTTTAATATTTGTGTTGTTATAAGACTTTTAAAACTTGTGCACTTCAAGATGTCATAATATTTATGTGCGGCTATAAAACATTATCATTAAGGACAGAATAAAAAATTTAAGCTAAATTGCTCTAAATTAGAAATATATCTTTCTTTTTAACAGAAAAGGAGAAATAGATTTTCTCAGACATATTTTTACCCACCATAGATGAGACAAACTTTTAACGAATGGCTAAGTCAGCCCTTCTCATAAAGTACAAGAACAAATTTGGATCTTTTCCCCGGTTATTTAATTTGTAACTCTTTAAGAGATTATTTGATTTGACATAAATACAACTTGGGATATCCAAAACTGCAACAATTATAGGGGTATTAAGTTGCTAAGCCATAAGATGAAAGTTTTGGAGAGGGTGATAGAAGGGAGAATAAGGATGAGTGTGTCCATTTTCTAGAACTAGTTCAGTTTCATGCCGGGACAGTCGACTACAGAAGCCATTTACTTTATAAGAAAATTGGTGAAGCAGTACAGGGCGATGAAAAAGGACTTGCATCTGATGTTCATTGACCTAGAGAGAACCTACGATAAAGTCCTCGTACTTTGGAGGTGTAAAGGAGTGCCTGTAGCCTATATTAGAGCGGTCAACGAGATGTATGAAAGAGCTAAGATACGGGTAAGGACGGCAGGAGAAAACTCAGAGTGCTTTCCAGTTGAGATGGAATTGCATAAGGGATCCACACTTAGCCCGCTTTTATTTTTCTTAGCCATGGATGCATTGATATGACACATTCAAGAGGAGGTGCCCTGGTGTATGTTATTTGTAGATCACATAGTTCCGAATGATAAAACACGAGGTGGTGTTAACTAGAGGTGGGGAGGTCTGGAGACAAACTCTTGAGTCTAAATGTTTCAAGTTAAGCATGACCAAGACAGAATACTTGGAATACGAGTTCATCGACGTTACCTAGGAAGCGGACGTGAATGTGAGACTTAGTGCTCAAGTCATTCCCAGGAAAGAGAGTTTCAAGTATTTGGGGTCTGTAATTCAGAGTGATGAGGAGATTGATGAGGATGTCATACATCGTATCTGAGCGGGGTGGATGAAGTGGAGGCTCGCTCCCGGTGTCTTGTGCGATAAGAATGTGTCATTGAGATTTAAAGGTAAGTTCTACAAAGTAGTGGTTAGACCGATTATGTTATATGGGATAGTGTGTTGGCCAGTCAAGAACTCTCATGTCAAGAAGATGAAAGTTGCTGAAATAAAGATATTGAGATTGATGTGTAGGCATACTAGGTTAGATAAAACTAGGAAGGAAGTTATTAGGGACAAGGTGAGAGTGGCTCCTATGGAGGATAAGATGCGAGAGGCGAGGCTTCGATGGTTCAGACCTGTTAAAAGGAGAAGCACAGATACCCCAGTCAGGAGGTGTGAGAGGTTATCCTTGGGGGATCAGAAAAAGGGTATAGGTAAGCCAATAAAATCTTATGGAGAGGTGATCAGGCGGGACATGGCGCAGCTTGAGCTAACCAAGGACATGCCTCTTGATAAGAGGGGGTGAAGGTTAGTAGGTAATCGAGTGTTTCCCTTTTGTCTTCCTTAGTTCAGTAGGTAATTGAGAATTAGGGTAGAATGTTAGTAGGTAATCGAGTGTTTCCCTTTGTATTCCTTAGTTTAGTAGTATTAGTGGTAGTATAGTATTATTTTATCCTTAGATAACTATTACTTCATATCTTGTATTGTATTACTTGTTATAAGTGCTTCTTTCATCTTTTGTTTTTCTATCTTAGTCTCAATTTTTTAAATATCTTGTATTGTTATTACTTGCTATTAGTGCTTCTTTCATCTTTTCTTTAGCTGAGGGTCTATTGAAAACAACCTCTCTACTCGTCCAGGGCAGAAATAAGGCTACGTACATCCTATCCTCCTCAATCCTCACTTATGAGAATATACTAGGTCGTTATTGTTGTTGTTTGTGGGGAGTAAGTATGTACCCTTCAACCATAATAATATGACTAGGGTGTTTGTGTTTGATTTGGTAGGTTTTGCTATACTAAAAATTATATTAATTTATAGGAGTACACAACAAGTTTTGGGGTTTTCCCTTTCCAAAATTAGACACATGAATCAATTGAGAAATTAAGAGTAATTCGTTTATGTTAACAAATTAGTACTAAAATAGTAGCAAATAGATAAAAGTTTTTAGTATCTCATCAAATGTACAAGTATTTTCAAGTGTGTATAATGTGATACTCAAATCTTCTATTTACAAAATGATATTAAGATAATACAAGGGATGTCAGAAATACGATATTAACTATTAAGATCATGAGGGAAGATCATGGAGGAGGTTATGGAGGTGTGAGAGTTACAACCATATATAATGATGAAGAATAATGGTGAGGTTATTTACATAATGAAGAAGAGTAGTCAGAGTTATATTTGTGTAGTGGACATCCATATAAATAATATATTTCATTACATCTTCCCTGGATGTCCAAAAAAAAAATGTGCCTCGTTAAAATATTATCTGTGGAAAAAAGAATCTTAGTGAAGAAAAAAATAGCACGCATTTTGTAATACGCATTACTTGCTGCCTCATTAAAAACCTTGCTAGTAAAACCAAGTGGGATAAAACCTTAGCTAAGAAAAAAAGAGTATAGCGCGTATTTATCCTCCCCCCCCCCAATAAAAATATTGTTTTATTTATCGAAGACAATGTGTTCCAGTTTTGTATCTCAACTCCTCAAACGTTGAGGTTGGTAAGTTTAACATATCCACCAAAATATCAGGCAAACGTCCATCATTCTATTGAATTGTGTCTCGTAAAGAACTTTGCTGAAATGTGCTTTGTTCTGTCTTTCTTCAATATATACTTCTTTCAATTGAGATAAGCAAGAAACATTGTCTTTCAATTAAGACAAGCAAGTACCATTTTCTTTTTAAAGAAAAGTCACACATCTCCTTCATATGCAAATAGATTATTTGAAGAACACACTTCAGAAAATGTCTGCATTTGCATAACCAACAAAATTTAACAATATTTATTAGGATAAACAAATCTTTATCAATGATTTCCTTTTGCAATATAATATTGATCACATTCCAGTATCTTCAAATAGGAGTAAATTCAAATTTTGCTAGAATATTGTTATACTCGTAGTTCTAGCAAGAAATATAAGTGCACCAACTGCAATAAGACATTAGACAAATCATATATTGGAGAAGCTTAATTTAACAAAATTTTCAGGAACCTTTATGTGCTTCGGAACAATTAAAATCCTTCAGGGACTTTTATTATAATCATATCAAGTATTTCATGTACTACCAAACTAAAACTCAAAAGTGATTTCATATGCCATAGGAGAATATGTCTCCATATAGTCAATGCCAAGATATTTACAAGGAGATAAACTTTATATTATTTTATTTATTAATTTTATAATATTTGTGCATATGATTTTTCCTTAATGTTAATTTTCAAAATATATAGATAGTATTATTAAATTTGCAGTAACAGTATTTTGAATAAATCTCAAGTTAATGTTCTTAACCATGCCTAATGAAATATTTTTAATGAAAATTATAAAATCAAAGTTCACAGATTTATCAGCCAAGCATATTTGTTAATCTAATGAACAAAATACCCATATTCAGAACACTGGCACATCAAATTAATACTTTTAAATAAATAATAGTATTAATAGATAAATCTTTAAAACCTAATATTAAGCACAAAATATCTTTGATTTTTTTAAGTTTTACTGACTATACAAAACTCATTTATTAAAACTTTATTTATGATATTTCACATAAATATTAAAAAATGAATATGTTTTGTCATATTTATATTTTAAAATATGTTCATGTTTGAATATGATTAAACAAATTGAGTGTCATGAAAAAATTAAATGTACGGATATATTATAAAAATAATAAATAAAGTATTATAAATCTATTTCAATTATAAGTAACATACCTATGTGAAATATATTATATATAAGGTATTACATAAACAAGAGGATTTATAATGTTAAGGGCATAGTTTTCAAGTAAAAGTATTATAAAATTTGGTGAAGATGACTATTGTGGTAAATATAGCAAAGTAAAATATTTTTTGTGTAACAAAAGAAAAAAAAGTGATTTTTGGATAATGGATACAAAGTTAAATAACTTTTACGTAACAAAATAAATAATATTTGGATAATGAATATAAAGCTTAATGAGCGCCATAAGATTTACTCCCTTGTGGGATTGTATAATAACTCAAATAATGATTGCCGTTTATTATGAAACCATCTATCACTAAAATTTATTTGAGTGATTTCAGAAGGCACACGTGTACTGGATAACAACTTCCTCTAAACAAATACTCCTACCTTGTTTCCGAGTCCAACGACTTCTAACTGTCTTTCCCTCCTTTTATGTTTCAACTAACTGCTCCTTTTTCTTCTTCGTGTGAACAATTCCATCTTCTCGGATCTCTAATCAACAATAAATTAATCTACGGAAGAATCTAGAAATTAATTACCACAAACAATGTCTTACTACCCGAAAGGCCACCGCGACAGTGACGATGTCCCTGAGTTTGACGAGTATGATCACACTCCCTATGGTGGTGGGTACGATATTTCATTGACATACGGCCGACCGATTCCGCCTTCAGAGGAAACTTGCTATCCTCCGACGTCGTCCGCCTCCGACGATTTTGACTATGATCGCCCCCATTACTCTTCCTCTGCAGAGCCATCTGCCTATGCTGATGAAGCTCTGGATAATGAGTACCAGAGCTATTCCAAGCCCAAGACCAAGCCTCGCCCATCTAAGGACGGGGATGACGAAAATGAGAAGCCTCGGCGCAACCCCGGAATGAATCGTCCTAGCGATGGTGGGAGTGGAATTGAATCTGATGAAACCGGGTATGGAAGCCGGACTGAGTACGAGAAACCCAAAAAGGGATATGGACGTAAGAGCGACGAGGATGAGGAGCCCAAATCCGAATATGGATCAGGATATGGACGGAAGAGTGAGCCAGATTCAGAATATGGATCAGGTTATGGGCGGAAGAGTGAATACGAGAAGCCAAGTTCCGATTACGGATCTGCTGGGTATGGGAGGAAGAGTAAATATGATGAAGAACCTACATCCGAGTATGGATCAAGTTATGGAAGGAAAAGTGAGAATGAGGAGAAAAGTTCGGAATACGGGTCTGGTTATGGACGAAAAACTGACTCTGATGAGTATGGATCAAGGCACGGTAAGAAAAGTGAATATGGGTCTGGTTACGGAGGAAAGACCGATTCTGATGAATATGGATCAGGGTATACAAGGAAAAGTGAGTATGAAGAGAAAAGTTCAGAATATGGCTCCGGTTATGGACGAAAAACTGATTCTGATGAGTATGGGTCAGGATATCGAAAAACAAGTGATTACGAGGCGAAAAGCTCGGAATATGGATCTGGTTATGGACAAAAGACGGACTCTGATGAGTACGGGTCTAGTGGATACGGGAGTAAACCCGCATCAGGGTATGGAAGGAAAAGTGAATACGAGGAGAAGAATTCGGAATACGGGTCTGGTTACAGACGAAAGACCGATTTGGATGAAAATGAATCTGGTGGATATGGGAGTAAAACCGCATCCGGGTATGGATCAGGGTACAGAAGAAAAAGTGATGATGATGAGGAGAAAAACTCAGAATATGGGTCGGCATATGGGCGAAAGACCGACTCTGATGAATATGGATCTAGTGGATACGGGAAGAAGAAAAACTACGGGGAGGAAGAGGACAGTGGGTATGGTTATGGAGGAAAATCAACTAGTTATGGCCGTTCAAGCTACGAGACAACAGAGAGCGAAGGGTACGGGAGGTCAACAATTGAGAGGCCTAGTTATGGAAGGTCCGAGGAAGAGGACTACAAGAAGCCTAGTTATGGGAGGCGTGACGATGATGATGAAGGCTATGGTCGCAAGAAATATGTAAATACTTTGATTACTCTTCTTTAATTTTGAAATAGCATAACACCAATGGAATGCACCTCAGTTTTATGCTTTTTATGTGTCTTATCTTTGTTCAGCAGCATAAAACCTTGAGTTTTGTTCTGCTTCCATTGATTTGATCTTATAAATTGGCAGGGTGATGATGATGATGCCTCCGGGGATGACGAAGAGAAGAAACATCGCAATAAGCAGCGCCACCATCGCAAACACTCCGATGATTGAGTAGAGTGCTTCTGTCACCTGCTCCATATTCATCCTTTGTTAGAAATTATAGTAGTAGTAAATAAAAGTTGGCATCTATTCATAGTGTTTCGTTCTATTGCAAACACTGACCATTAAGTAGAGTGCTTTTGTCATGTGCTCAAGATTCATGCCATTTTACTAGTTAATGAGTAGTAAATAAAATTTATCTATGTATTCAGTGTTTTGTATGTTGGGAGAAGGAAATGTTGGCAGTTATCTGTATTAGGTATTATGTAAAGTCATTTTGTTTGGAATAATTGTTTACCCCTAAAACGGTATAGTTAAATTTATAGTGTGGTTTATAGATAAACGAATCGATTTGATCCAAAAACAATAAGTAAATAAAAAAGAGATAAAATTATCAAATGAAATTAAAGAAGATAAAAAGCCTGACTAAGAACTTTAGCCTTTCCGGTGACGAGCGTCTATTCAGTATTCAAGTATTGAAATTGAGCGTAATAGAGTATAGCTTTTTGTGTACAGAGTATTTCGTGTCCTACAATAGATATTAATCTTCCTATTTATAGCCTTACTTAAGAAGACAAGATCCTAGAATCAAACTCCTCTTGAATAAGAATAAAATCGCCATTGATGGGTGCATAACGGCTTGCTTTGAATGTTGATACTCTCTGTAACGACTATTCATTAAATGCTATCTTCTGATATCAAACCTTCGAATCTTAATTGTCAGCTTATATCTCCTTCAGAATCTTTCCTGCACCGGTCACACACCCGCACCCAGTGTCAGCTATGTGCTGGTTCACTTTCCACCTGCTTTCGGTTCTACGTATCACCTCACCATTCGACCAATTGTCATCAATCAATTTTATCCCATACAGATAGTCCCCATACTTTCCAGTGATGCAGCTCAGCGTTACCGGAAAGTAGATAAGAATTCTTTTCTTGTCGGAAAAGTTCCTGAACGGTCTTTGACACTTGAAAGGGCACACGTCTTCTCGCATTTAATAACCCGAATACGTATTGCTCCATGATTCAACAAGTATTTTCACCAATTTTCAAGGTAATTATGACTACACTTTTTTCGACTATAACTTCTCCGCCACTTATCAGTTTTACTTCTTTACTTTCATTATTTCCATAACTCCTTCTTCTTCTTCTTCTTCTTCTTCGAATTTCCTAATAACTTTTCTGCAACACTCAACCTTTTCAGTAAAAAACTTCTTCACATATTTCTTATCATCATATCTTCTCGTACCGCTGTCTCCGGAAATTCTGGTTTTCTCTTTGGTGGAGGTCTAAAGAAAAATAAAAACAAAAAGGTTGATGTTGAATCTAAACCTCCAACTGTAAACACCATCATACCACTCCATCTTAGCACCACATCCAATCTCCAAGAGCAAAAAGCACATATAAATTCCCAGGTTTTGGCTAGTTCGTAGGTACCCCTCCTACATTCATCCTCCTACCATCCTCGTTGTGAAGGAGGACTTCATTTATAGCAATCTTGAAATCTTCGCCCAAGATGGGGCAGAACGAGTTACATATTCCAAGGCGGGGTTCATATATGTCTATACATAACCCTTCACTTGGGTGAACGAATTGATCAAATAATTTTGGAATTCTGCCATCGGTACCAAGTTTTCTTGGCACATGTAGGCTCATCCATATGGCGTACGATGGACTGCCTCCGTCAATTGTTTGTCGAGACTGGGGAAACTCTTACTCTTGCACATATAATGAATCTTTACTCATCCAAATTTTCCTTGAGGGGGGGGGGTTGTTAAACCTCAGCAAGCATGGTCACCACGCTCTTCTCACCAATGTAGATGATGATAACGGTCGTGGATGGATGAAAAATTTCATTGTTGTTGCTACTAGAGACATCATCCTGATCACAACTCCATCTTTTCCCGAATCATGGAATCTTTTCATAAGTCTTCGGGTATCCTTTCTTCCTAAAAAGAGAATTTCTTTCTTTGCTAATTTTCTACTCCCTTCATTTCAGCTACTCACTGAGAACCACCACGGTTTCAAGGCTGAACCGATGAGTCGAGAAAATTCTAGATATTACTACTCTTGAAACCCGACAGTGAAAGGAGATGGCTCCCAAGTATGGATGGAAAGCCCATAGCCATGGTAACTTTGGAACAACTTGTTAATTGTCCTTTTGCCCCACACAAGACTTTCGAGGAGTTCCATCGTGTGTCCCAACGTCGAGGCTCTTGATGACCCAGCGGGGGCTGCACAGGTGCTGCAAGGTGCCCTTCACCGGAGGAGGGCTCGTGAATATACTCGCGCCTCCGATAAAGGTGCTTCCTCCCAGTGTCCCCGGCCTAATAATAAGAAACCGAAGAGGAGATATTCCTCCTTGGCTGGGACTCTGGAGAAAATAATAAAGAGAACATCAACTGAGCCGACCATAGTGGTCCTCGATGATGAAGGGGAAACTAGTGCTGAAGAGGCTTCCCTCCAAAGGAGAAAAAGATCTTCATCAGCTCAACTGGGTTCTTAGCTGGGGGAGCTTTAAAATCCACTAGCAGAGGAGGTCCAGGCGCTCTAGGGAAAATGGGTTTGGTTGAAAATGTCGATTCCCGCTTTCCGATCCCCATCGAAGTCTCCGATTAGAGGAGTTCGGCCTCTAACCTTCCTTTACCATCGACTACTGAGCCATCCATAATTGCCACGCTTTCTACACCGGTTTTTTCTTCTCCATCTACAGTAATAACTCATTATCCACCGATACCAGCTATCCCTTCTCCACTAACACCAACTGCTTCTCCTCTACGATCTCCAGACCACGGGAAGTTGGGAAATAATTCTCGACCCTTTCTCAAGATCCTCGTAAAAGGCGAAGTGCCACTCTTGGAGGCTGGCTTGTGTACCAAAACCGAGGAGACCAATGCTGCCGAGGAGAAGAGGCAAAAATAGAAGAGAGAGTCATGGAGCAGAACCGACTTCACTCAACCACCAACGTTGAGCTTGATTCCAAGATCAATACAATGAAGGCTGAAAATGAAGAGCTCCAAGACAAAATTGATAAGATGCGAGCAAAACTACAGGACCAAGAAGATTCCCTTGCTTACAATAAAACCTACACCATGTATCATATGAAGATGAAGATTTTGAAGGAGACCAAAGAAGGCATTGTCAACATTGATGACAGTATTGCCAAGGCATGGGAACTGGAGTTAACCGCTCGTGAGAACCTTCCTGTTCGGCTCGCTGTATCTGAATCCTCGAATACTAATTCTGAGTATTTGAGAACCGAAGAGGAGATCGAAGAAGATGAAGGCCCCGAACCGGCAACAGAACAACCTTCTTCCACCAGAGAAAATGAAGACCCTTCTCTCTCTTCGGTTCCGCCTACAAAGAATGATGTATAAATTTTTTATTTCACCCTTTTTAATTACGCCAAAACTTTTTACTAAGTTTGGAGATTTAATCAATAAAGGAAAATTTTGCTTAAGTGTTATGCAAAAATTCTTTTTACGTTTAATTGATAAAACTTCAGGAATATTTATGCATCTGATAGCTTTTGATCCGGGCAAAATTTCTTCCGGAATCTACCGTTTATTATGAGGGTTTCATAAGAGAGGGACCTTATGTTTACAGTACTCTTGAAGAGGAAATTTCCTGTTCGTTCCGTCACAAGCATTTGAAGTTTTTGTTAACTTTCAAATGATAAAATAAATTAACTTATCATTCGAACAAGAAATAAGATAAGAATAAAAGGACCTTGATTTATTCCCTCTATCCTTTAAAGTAAATTTACATAAACATTCATTTGCTTAAGTAAATAAAGCTGCCAATACATGTGGCTAACTTGTATAACCTATTCTACGGAGCTGACACATAGTCCCCGATCTTAATAAGACATTGATCCCGACTCTAACAGTCATCGGTTTTTTTGGCAATCTTTGTGTTGTATCATGTATTAGTCCCCCAGTGTTCGAATGCTAAGTATGAGAATTCGAGCACTGGAATTTTTGCATTCACCGAAGGCTTTTTCTTCATTTTATACTTTATATTACTGCTTCATCAGTGGAGGCAACTTGTGAACGGTTAAATAATCTGTTTCAGTCTTGGGAGGTGAGACTTGCCATCAAACCAAAGATTACTTAACCATCCACATGCTCTTTTCCACACTAATGTTAGTGCTTTGATATTGAAGGTCTTGCCTTTGCCGATGATCACGCTTTACGTTGCTACCTCGTTAAAAACCTTGCTATAAAAATCCGATTGGGGCAAAACTGGTCGAAGGAAAAACAAGCGTAGCACATACTTTCAGTACCAACAAGAATCTTCAACAATAATAACTTTTGAGGTGAGTCACGTTCCAATTGCTTGGCAGTTTGACCCCATCTTGATTTTCTAATTCATATGATCTTTTACCGGTTATAGGCAAAATACGGTAAGGTCCTTCCCACGTTGATCCCAGCTTTCCGATGTTAACTTCCCAAGTTCTTTGAGTAACCTTCCTCATAACCATATTTCCAACTTTAAAATTACGAAGGTTTGGCCTGCGATTGTAATACCTTTCCATCATTTTCTTTTGGTCCACCATCCTTGCGTCTGCCAGATCCCGATACTCCTCGAGTAAATCTAACCTGATCAGTAACTTCGTGTTTGTTTCTTTGTTTGACCGGGAGAACCTTAAGGTTGGTTCCCCTACTTCTACCGGTATCAAAGCCTCCCAACTATATACGAGCGAAAAGGGTATTTCACGCTTGCTCGACTTTGTCGTGATCCGATATGCCCCTAGCATACCTGATAGCTCATCTGGACATTCGCCCTTGGCATCTTCTGGCTTCTTTTTAAGGTTTTGAATAATTACCTTGTTGGTTGACTCCGACTTTCCATTAGCACTCGGGTGGTACGGTGAGGACGTAATTTGTTTGATCTTTCACCGTTCCAAGAATTTTGTGACTTTTGAACCTACGAACTGTGGCCCGTTGTCACAAGCAATTTTTGGTATTACAAATCGGCAAATGATGTTGTTCCATTTAAAATCAATCACTTCTCATTCTCCGATTTTTTGGCAAGCACCTTCTTCAACCCATCTAATAAAATAATCAGTTAAAACTAAAAGAAATCTTACCTTCCCGGACCCTTGTGGTAAGAGGCCGACTATGTCCATCTCCTATTTCATGAATGGACATGGGGACACCAGCGAATGCAAAAGTTCTGCTGGTTGATGCACTAATTGTGCATGACGTTGACATTTGTCGCACTTTTCTATGAATGTCTTTGCGTCATGTTCC